CAATTAAGGGAATAGCAAAAGAGAATGTTTTCCCTGTTCCAGTTCGTGCTTGAGCAATTACATCTTTGCCAGAATATACTGGGTCGAAGGTCTTCACTTGCACGGGAAACAGGTACGTCACTCCTCGAGCTGTGACAATTTCAACAGACTTCCTTAATACGATCATTTTACAAGTGTTCTTGCATACTCTTCAGAGGAAGTTATCCCAAGCAGAACTTGCATAAACTCTAAAGTAAGTCAGGACTATATTATCACATTCACTGATTTATTTAATCACAGACATAATCTGTAAAGAGTGCCCTGGGACTGTCCATTTTGTTCTCCCACTTCATACCACCAGACTTAGTGCTAGCTGGGACAGATGAAGTTACTAGCCTTCAATGAAAGCCGTTAAGTACTGTGGCTTTATGTATGTAATACTCCCCACCTATCTGTGAAAATCTCTTCCTTTCAAATAAAACATGTCAAAACCACTTCCATTCTTCTCTTAATTCATACGAAGTCATGCACAAACAAATGTCAAAGATACTAAATATAACTGGTTTTCCTTTACTCACACTGAAATAACTAAATAACTTTTAATTGAAAAATTCTCACACAGAACTAATTTATTTTTTGAGCTTATGTGATTTAAAATTCTACTGTAAAGGCTGAACTGGGCAATACTGCAAACAGGAAAGTCTATGTTTAACAATATATTTAGAGTAGGCAATCAATATGCCTTCTGTATAGCATCTATGCTTCCATACGCGTAAGCAGAGCACATCTCAAAACTCATTGATTGAATACGTTGAGCATAAAAACACATGACAGAGATAATTTACTTTCTGTGGTCACATCATGCCAAGAAATTTACCTTGAAGAAGCTGAACAGTCCCTTTGGAAATAGAAAAATTGGAGAAAGCACCCTCTTTCTGTTCTTCAGTCATCTCCTGTTAGGTAAACAATAAATCAGATAACATTCCATGTGAATATCACATGACCATCAGAAAATTCAAGGTAATGGCATAGGCACTGGCATCATACCCAAGGGTCAAATTTTCAGTGACAGTATCACAGCTGTAGCTAAAGAGCCTTCTTTGTTTTACTTACTGTCATATTTCAAAGTTAAACAAGAGTGATCTGTAATTTAAGTTAAGACTGTTTCATATCTAATGGCATAACCCTGTAAATGCAAAGCACCCAAATTAAAACTCTGAAAACTCTTAATTACATTTTAACATTCTATTTTAAATAATTACCAATGGCCCAACAGATTATGTTGCAATATGCAAGTGTCAGGCTTGATATCTAGCCTATTTCCTACTTCCCAATTAATACAGCACAGTGATTTACAGATACAGAAATCAGTCCCCAGAAGAGTAACATTACAAGGCAGAGCATCAAACGCACCTACTTAGTAATGCAACACTTCCGTACACATTTTAACAGCACAGGGATTAAAACGCTAAGCGTGAGGAAAGAATGCTAACCCTGGAAACCATGGAGACCCTAGATGCTTTGTGAAGCATCAATTGGAACAAGAAACAAAACAAAGCAACATCAGAACATACAGGTATAAAGATTTTTCAAAACAAATCAGGCAGCTTTGTTTCCCTTCAAAAAAAAATGTGGTTCATGTCAAGCAGTTTTAAAGGAACCTAAATCAAACAGAAATAGTCAGAAAAAATAAAAACATTCTTACAGAAAGGCTTAAGAAGACTTACAAAACTGTTACAACAGGATATTTTATTACATTAAGGACCATCTTATCATGTTAACAGCTACTATTTAATGAGACAATATGTGAAAACATATTAATATATAACTTTTATTTTTCCACCAGCTAAAACCAAATAACTCTTATTTCATTAGAGAAGTACTCATAATACCAAAAAGAAGTCAATTAAACTATATTTGTGGCAATTACAATCATATCTAATGATGCTGAATCATATTAAAGCACCATCTCACTGCAGCTTGTCCATCTGCCAACAGCTACCACAGTACTGGACTGTTGAAGTAAGGAAACCATGGTGCACTGATCTAGAACTTCAGGACTTTCATAACTTCAAATTTCTGCGAATAATTGACAGAAAGGACAGTTCAAGTAGCTTTAAATCCTGAAAATTTACAGCAGTCTTTCCACTGACTGGGAGAAAAAAAAGGAAAGATAACCTGTTTTAAATTTAACCTTGTTGCAACACAGGAGTTGAAAGCTAAACACATCACTATAACTAAATCAATCATTAGTTTTACCTGCTCTTGCTCACTGTCACCATCACCACTTGACGTTTCACTAGAATTACTGTGCCGTTTTTTGTGGGTGGATTTAACGTTTAAGGAAGATAATCTCGTGTTCTCCGAGCTTTCTTCTCTTGCATCACCGTTTTGTTTAATTCCACTCCTTGACTTCTTGAGCTTCGGAGAATCAGTGTCATCCTCCGACTGCTCACTTTCATCCGTCTGAGTCCTCCTCCTCCGAGATTTGTCATGGCGTTTAGATTTCTTCTCTTTTTTCTCCTTCTGGTAAGGCACAGAGCAGCACGGCGGTAAATGAAAATACACGCACATGATCCAAGGGACACGAAACAGAGAAGATGTTGCAGAACAGTTAAAATTAAAAGTCTGTGTTCCAGTTATTGACAGGGACAGGGACTGGGGGGGGCCG